TGAAATTATCTGTAATTAATTATAATTATGATGTTTCAATTTCTCAACTAGTTTATTATTTAGATCAATTTCAACAGTTTTATTATTCATAATTATTAATTAATTTTTGAAGTAACGTTTACACTGCACCAAAAACTTAATTTTTTTCCTAATTAAGTGTAATTAAATAAATTTTTCACAATTTTACTTACGCTTTACGTAATTTTAATTGTCGCTAAACACACTGATTATTCAAATGCGGTTCTTTTACGTCACTTGATTGTCGAAAAGCATGTCTTTGTTATAATTACAAATAAAGAAATAATTCAAATAATTAATTAAATTACGACACAATTATTTATTACAACTTAATATTAACTAAGAGTAACGCAACTAATTGCAGTCGGTGCACTTTCTTTTTCTCTGCGATCGTGTTTTCTAAACAGTACTAATCGCACTAGCCTCGAGCTATATTTAAAATTTTTTCATCAAGAAGAAAAAAATAAAAAAAACATTTTTTTGCACTAGGATATGGAATGGTAATGTGCGTACGTTATGTCAATCCTGTTACTCTTGTCTTATTTACTTTCTATCACTCGTGAGGAAAGTGGTACCATCAAGTCGTTAAAATGAAGGGACTTTACTTATGTCAAAATCCTTTATTATTCAAAAAATAACAATAAAATTATTTACAGTATTACCAACATTGACGAAACAGTTAGTTACAACATTCTAACAATTGTAAACAATAAATTACATCACCACTTCCCTTTTCCTATGATTTCTTCTTCTTCTTTCCAGTTGGGAAAGTCGATTTTTTCCTCACCGCGTTCTTCTTTCTTCTCTTCTCTTCTCTCTTCTCCTTCATCCCATTTTTTTTCGTGTTCACCTTCATCCCATTTTTTTTCTTCTTCACCTTCGTCCCATTTTCTTTCTTCTTTGTGTTCTTCTTTCACTGGTACTTTCTTCTCGACATAGTAGGGTACATGTTTGATGACTTCAAATGGTACTGGTCGGTCGACCTTGACCTCCACCGGGTACGGTACTTCTTTGACCACTGGTACTTTAACAATTTTCTCAACGGGGTATGGTTGTGGTACTTCGATTTTGACCGGGTATGGTACCTTTTTCTCAACATGGTAGGGTACTGGCCTTTCCACGTAAACCTTGACCGGGTATGGTTTCTCGACAGGGTATGGTACATGAACCTTCTTTTCGACTTCAACGGGGTAAGGTTTAATAACCTCATAAGGTACTGGTCGTTCCACGGGAACCTTAACTGGTACTTTTACGATTTTTTCCACGGGGTATGGTTGAGGAACATGCACTGGTACTTTAACGGGGTAATGAACCTCTTTCTCGACGGGGTACGGTTGTGGTACTTTGACCTCAAACGGAACGTGAACCTCCTTGTAAACAGGATATGGTTGCGGGACGTAAACCTTGACGGGGTATGGTTGCTCCACTGGTACCTTTACTGGTACCTTAACGATTTTCTCCACGGGTACTGGTTTGTGAACGGGTACCGGAACCTTGACCGATTCTTTCACCTCGTAGAAGACTTTTTTGTAAACGGGGTAAGGCTGGGGTACGTATACTTCGACCGGGACTGGTACTTTCTTCTCCACGGGAACAAAAACCTTCTTCTCAACGGGGTATGGTACTGGTACTTTTTTCTCAACCGTGACGATTTTTGGGGGTTTTTTGTGTTTCCAGTCGAATTTCTCTTGCCATTTGTGGAACTTGTGCCATAAGTCCCTTTTGGTGTGTTTGTTGTCCACTTCTTCGGCATTGATGGCCAAAATGGCCACCAAGAGGTACAGCTGCAACAAAAAAATTGCGATCACTTACAGGTTTCTGTAATTTAATCCAGGTTTTTGCACTGGGCACACCACAACACTTACGAGAGTTCTCATTGGGCCTAAAATCTCTTCCAACTAATAGTTCACTTAAGTTCATTGGACATTTATAGACACACTTTCGCAATTGCCCTTCCACCTTATCTTAAATGCGACATTTTACAATTATTTAAGAGGAAAATACCGGTCACGTGGGTAAAACCAGGGCATTTTTTGGCGAAAGGTGCGAAAATGCGACTTTTGAACAACTTCTTTGTTTCGATTTTTTTTTCAAATTGAGGAAAACAAAGCAATTATTAATTATTTCAGTTAATTTATTCACGATTTGTAATAAGAGTTGTTACATTTACTTTCAAAGGATTTTTCTCGCTGAGGCAGAATTGCGACAGTTATTTAGGCCATTGGTAATAATTGTGATCAATATGGATTTGTTACAGGGATGAAAAAAATTCCAAATTGCAAATACAGTCTGAATAATTTGAATTGCACATATTGTATACGAAAAAATCGAAATAAGGAGCAAAACTTGACCCATACGCCCACAAAGCGTTCTAAAAGTCGACATTCTTAATATATACAGAGTGACCAAACACTGAAAACTGAGAGACACAGACTTTGTTTTTTAAAATTCAAAAATATTTATTTAATAATTTAGACAAAAAAAAATTAAAGACAATAAATTGCACACGTTGTATATGAAAAAATCGAAACGAAACCAGTAGTAAACTTGACTCAGGCGCACAAAACGCACGAAAAGTCAAAATTCTCAATATATACAAGGTGACTCAAAAACTAAAAACCGGAAAACACTGACTTTTATTTTCTAAGTATAAAAATTATGTTTTGTTTTGACTTACAAGTACAACAACTAAAATTGCATTCACTGAAATCATTTATTTTTATATAGAGTGATTCAATTTTTTAGGACAGGTACACACTTTTTTTCATATAAAGAACTATATACTTTTTACACATTCTAGTTTGGCTAGCTACATACTCAATGTCACAGTGTATTGTTTATTAATTTTGATTGCGGCGTTGCCAAATCAGAACAAGATTCTTTAAAATATTATGTTACTTTGTTTTAAATTCTCCTAAAAATTTTAGTGTAATTAAAATTGAATTAAATTTTGTAAACAAGGCTTTTCTCTGTCATTTACTGACAACAAAATGTCATCAAAATTCTTAATATATATATAATGTGACTCAAACACTGAACATTGACTTGTTTTTAAAATACAAAAAGATTTTTTTTTAATAATTGCAATAAAAAGAATCAAAAAAAGTAAATTGTAAGTAGCAAAACTTAACTCATGCGCCCACAAAACGCAAGAAAAGTCAAAATTCTCAATATATACAGGGTGACTCAAAAACTTTAAAAAAGCCACTGACTTTTGTTTTCTAAATACAAAAATAATTTTTTGACTTGACTTACAAGTAAAATTGCATTCACTGAAAGCATTTATTTTTCTACAGGGTGATTCAACTTTTTAGGACAATACACAAAATACACAAATTTTTCATGTAGAAACCTATACATTTTTTTACACATTTTAGTTTGGCTAGCTACATACTCAATAAAAAAGTGTTTTGTTTTCCAACTTTGATTGCGGCGTTGCCAAATCTGATTCTTTAAAATAATGTATATGTTAAAAACTTTTTAGTGTAATTAGTTAAAAAATTGAATTAACTTTTGTAAACAAGGCTTTTCTCTATCATTTAATGCCAACAAGATGTCATCAAAATTCTCAATATATACAGTGTGACTCAAACACTGAATATTGGAAAACATTGACTTTGTTTTCCAAAATACAAAAATATTTTTCTGAAATCACTCATAACAACCAAAACCGCAAAATATGTAGGGTGTTTCGTTATTCCATAACAACTTTTTTTCTCTATAAAAACCTATATATTTTTCACAAATTCTAGTTTCAAAAACAAAATTTTGTTTTCAAATTTTGACTGCGACGTTGCCAAGTGTGAACAATTTTTTTAATAGTACTCACATATACACCTTATTGTTTCAAGTCCTTCTAGAAAGTTTAGAGCAATTAATTAAAAAAATAAAGCTTGCACTTTTGTAAACAACACTTTTTTAAGTCATTTGTGGTCGTTTTTATATGATTCTACTATACAGAGTGCTCTTTATAAATAATCAACCATCCAATTTTTTAACGACTATCGCTTACTTTTTATAATTTTTTTACAATTCCTTTGCTTAAATTTAATATTTTTTAGTTTGTAACTATATACAGAGTGTTTTATTTTTCCAGGACCGAATTCGACTTTTTCTTCAAACAAATTTTCTACCTACGTAATTTCACTTGATTTCCAAATGAATACTTTATTTTAAAATTTTAATTGCAACGTTGCCACGTTATTTAAGTTTCTTAGAAGAGCACACCCTTTGACCTAAATTCTTTTAAAACTTTTACTTTCAATAGTAGAAAAATAACATTTTGCATGTTTGTAAACAAGCCCTTGCTATATCGTTTGGTATAGTTTATTTGTTATATCACGATACAGAGTGTTTTATATAAATAATCAAACTAAGCAATTTTATAACGTCCATAACTTGTTTTTGGAAAAAACATTATATTTTTTTATTTAACAATTTTTTTAATTCGATTTTGTATTATTTCATTTCTGTCTATACAAGGTGTTCTATTTATCATCTTCTTAAAAAAATTTGATATATAATTTTTTTTGTTTAAATCGTCTAGGTAGAATTACGAATAGAAAATTTTGCATAAAATTTCCAGTTATATATATGATACAGGGTGTTTGCCATAAAGCGATTTTTAAACGACTACAACACCAACTTTCATTTATTTAATTATTTTGACATAAGAATAACAGTTTAATAAATTATTATTTTTTCACTAGTTAGAAACAATTTTCAAAATTCTCTCATTAGCATATTGTTTACACTCAATCACAGCAATCTAGATTTATCAAGTCACACATCATTGCCTTGATTTGAATCTCGCGAAAGTAGAAACGCATCCTATCTTCATTACAATTAATATTTCTCCATTTGAAAAAAATCCGATTTTAAGTACTTGTGTGGTAAAGTGCTTTTACTTCTCGTTACATGATTTTTAATCTGTTACCGGTTCTACTTTCATTTAAATTGCTGACGTGTTTTTTTCGACCAAATTTATGGGCATTCGGGCACGTTTTTACTTGAAATGCATCGTTCAAAGCGACTATTTTACTAGGAATTTTCGTGAATTAAATTATGGGAGAAATATGGAAATTGTATTAAAATTAGAATTGATTTGAATAATGTAAAGGATATGAGTTTTTATTGCTTTCCACCTGTTGCATGTTACAATTAAAAGATTATGTAAAAAATTGGTTTCATTAGCTTAATCGATGAAAGCACGCGAGACAAGTGTTATTACTTGTGGAAATTATTATCGTGTGGTGAATGGTATACAAAATGGTTTTTTTGGTTCAAAAATTTTTTGAAAAAATATTAATATGTATGACAGAATCTCAATTAAAATTTAATTAAAATATTTGACCAAAGTCGTTAAACTTTTAATGGATTCGTTTTTTTATGAAATGTTTAAATCATGAGCAACTTTAAAATTGATTGTCTTAATTTTTGAATAATCTTTCTAGAATTAGTAATTTTTATTGTAAAAATATATGCTATTATATGCAACACAATACACAGCAGGTTTTGTATTATATGTTGCCTATAATGTGTAAGAATAAAAATGTATTTAATTCTGGTGGTACATTTCTAATGTCGCTCAGTATATGACAACTTGACAGTGACTGTTATTGTCTCATTTTTTACATTTATTAGTATTTTTATTTTTTACCGGTATTGCATTTTTTATTTCTTACTAAAAACCATTTTGCTTAATTTAATTGCAATTTTTTTGCTCTAGTAACCTTTTGTACATTTGTCATACTTAATCATTTGAAATAAATGAGCTCTTTAATTAAATCATATGATGAATTAATTATTATAATTAATTTCTTGTGACATTTCTATTAATTAAAATAGTCGGTTATGGATATAAATACTTGTCAAAGTGCCAATAAATTATTGTTTTTTAAAAATATATCACTGATAATAGAGCAAAAAATGTGCACACATAGATACACTAGTGTGATAAGTGGGTTGCATACCGTTTTTACTAAATTGTGATCAAAAGGATCAAAATGTGATTTTAAAGTATTTTGAAATATACAAGGTGGATCATTTTTGTTTATTAAAAAAAAATATTTGTTACACGTAATTGTTTAAATAAACACCCTGTAT